TGAAGTCCTAATTGCCCAACCCACTCCCACGACTCACCAGTGTAGCTTAAAGTTCGGTTTTCGAAAAGGGGAGGAAAATGAGGTGGGAAAGGAAAGGAAAATTTAAAATTTGAGAAAATAATAACAGAAAATGTTATTTTGTGAGGGAAAGTAAAGAGAAAGTAAGGTGAAAGGGAAAAAATTGTACATGGTGAAGTGTAATATGTTATTTTATTGATTATATACAATTTAAAATAGGGGAAAATATTGTGGAAATGAATATTATAAAAACTAACTTCTATTTAACCATGACCATTTTTATTATTTTTAACTAAACATTCATATTAACTAGTAACAAATTGCATAAAATTTGGATTACCTCTGTTGTATAAGTTGACATCCATTCTGTAAATATTTCACACTTTGATGTCGTTTTAATTGGAACGTAATACCTTTTTATGTCCCACGTAACAGTTTTCCGTGTCGGGTAAAACAACGTTATGCGTGACATAAATCACTGTTGCGTTTCATTCACTGTTACAGAGGACGTAAAAATGACAAAAACAAATTGAATTCATTGGAGACATTAGTAAAGCTTAGATTGAAGGTTGCGCTTGTTGCAAGTTTTTTATTTGTGTTGTTTTAGTTACACGGTCGGCAGCCTCGATACATATTATGGTTCAAGATAGTGAACATACGAAAATCGAATTTTGATATTTAATTAGACCATGAATTAACCTGATTTTGGGGCATGATACTACACTCTAAAATCTAATGAGTATCTAATTCTCTAACTCAAAGAATAAAATTTATTTAATCTAAAAATAATAATCAACGAAAGTGTGATATTTTATTTTATTATTGTGCTAGTGAAAATAATAAAAAGAAATCATGATAACATTTTTGTTGATTATGTTTTTATGGGGGGGAAAATTCACCAAACTTTTTGTCAAAATTAAACACCGAAAACAATGTACAAAATAAACAATACAGAAAAGGAAAGCTATACCTATTAATCCGTTTGTGATTAACCACTAAGCAAAATACAACTAAACCAAACCACTAAAAAATTAACATTTATCAGTTAATCATTAACTATTGTTATCGGTTAAACAGGTAGTCAGACTGTTGGACGCTTGCGGGGAGGTTAGTTTCTGCCATGTTGATGAGAAGTATATAATATATATATTTGGTTTAATGTTGTACGCAAATGGTAGGTTCTCAAATTAGGGAGGTGTTTGCCATGGGAACCTTTTTCCCCTGGGTATGGGAAAAAGAGTTACGAACCCCTTTACGTTTGTTCATTGGTTGGTTCAAAGAGCGGGAGTCAATTTCTTTTCTTGAAAGGATTTCTTCCTGAAATTGTTTAATGGTAGAGCGGTATATATGTTGTTAAGTGACTAGTCGTAGGTTCAAGTAGGAGGATTTTTAATTATCGCCTTTCAAGTTTAGTAACCTCAGTTTTTCTCTGTAGTCTCTACACCAGTGGAATCACGAAAATGTGTTATTCCCAAATTTGAGAAAGAGGATTGGGATCTATATCGAAGAATTAATCAAGCTCCTCCCTCCTTCCTTCAATCACATCGAGAGAGGGAACATAGATGATCGTTCAGAACTTTATTGTAGGAGAAAATATGATCTGTAATAAGTTGTCAGACGATTTTATGAATTATGAAGAAATCAGACGTGGCGTGAGATATGAGTGACAATTGACATATTGGGTCCACCCGTACTAGTAAGACCTGCTATTTTTGCTCAAAGTGCTAAAGTGATTTCACTTAAGTTGTATACTCTACACAACAGCAAGAAATTGAGCAAGATTCCCCCGACACATATACGGTGTATTATCATTTTCGGTGGAAATGTAACATTACAAATGAAGAACAGCAAGAAATTGAGCAAGATTCCCCCGACACATATACGGTGTATTATCATTTTCGGTGGAAATGTAACATTACAAATGAAGAATAATTGAACCCATAAGGAAGAAGACAGAGACAAGAAAGATGACGTGGATACCAATATTTCATTTACAGGAGAGGACTCTTCGGCTGCTCGGCCGGCTGGAAAGCTGACGCCGATGATGATGAGTAGATCTGCCGCCGCGCCACTTCTTCCACGCACGCCGCCAACGCTCGGAACCCGCGGCGAGATGAGTGTTCGGTTGGGTTGGGCGCCGCCGCCGCCACAGCAGGGGAATCGTTCGAGTAAGGGCCAAAATGATGGCTTGCATAAGCTTGACCTAGCCCTCAAGCTCTAGGCTACAACTGCTGCCTTATTACCCTTTTATTACCCCCCAATCCTCCGTCTTTAACAGATAGGGATTGCTTTGTGGAGGGATTAAGCACATCCGTTATTATAGTCCTAATTAGTTCGCATTTTATCAATATTTATACACATACATGGTTTATATAATAAATTAAAACCATACTCAATCCATTCGGGTTTGGGTTATGCATGGTACTGGGGTTTTCGCCTTTATTTCATGTAATATGTCACTATTTGTGAGTATATTCACATCTTACAAGACAAAAGGATACATTTATAAGTCACAAATATTAATATAAATAAAAATGGAAAAAGTCATTGTAATGTTATATATGTATTCTGAATATTGAATATTCTGAGAGAGAAAGAAAATTTATAGAGAAAATATAAATATACATCTATAATCAGATGGATTCAGATAAAAGAGCAGGAACACCATGCCAAGCCCATTATACAAAAATCCAGCGGTGTAGCTAGGTATAATCTAATAGAGGCTACATTCCTGACTAGATTTTTTTTATCTAAAGTTATAATATGTGTATTTGTAAATTCAAAAACATTAGATAATTATAGGATCCCCCCCCCCCAACTAGGGCTGCAAATGAAAGTTGATCGGGGTTCGATTTCGGAAAAGTTCGTTCGAAACTCGGCTCGTTTATTAACGAGTCGACCATGAGGTAAGCCTTGTTCAGCTCGTGAAACTAGCGACCGCAAACTAGCTCAACTCGGTTGCTGAGATAAACTCGTGAGCTGGCTCGTTTACAGCTCATGATGTCTCGACATTGTGGCTAGAGAGTCAACTCGATTACGGACTTATGTGAGAACCGAGCTATATCTTATGAGTTTAAATGCATATGATTTTTAAATTATATATCTCCCCGTGTACGAAGTTTAATACGTTGAGTATGTGAGCAAATATATCTTATGTTTTATTTTAAAAAGAAATTATGTATCATAGATTGCTTCGATATACTATGAAATAGCATGATTTGAAATAGTTAAAATCTATTAACTAAATAATATGATACCAACAAAGTATAATGAGATTAGTTAATATGGAACATTTGATTATTTTTTTCTCATAATGACATCAATCACATGTATCATACATAACATACAAAATGAAGTATCAAATACGAGTCAAGATTTTAATAAACAAGCTTAGCTTGAGCTCATTTATTAACGAGCTGAGCTAAAACTAGAGTAAATACTTGGATGCTATTGTGACTTGTTATTTTCATCACATCCTCACTTTAAGTCCTGACTTCCGCCACTGTAAAAATCTTGCAATATAAGAATCAACTGACTAGAGAAAAGACTTGGAGATTGTTTTTGTTGATTACATAATCCTCGACGACTTAGGTTATTCACATCAATGCAATTGCAAAGCTCATTTCGTTTCCACATATGATGACTATTACAACTACATCAGTGCGATTTCATTTTTCATCAAACGCAAACTTGCATCTTTCCAAGTACCCGCTCCAATCGAATTTTATCGGCACATGTTGCAATTGACGAAAGATCATCGTTACAGATGGCCTCTACCAGAGAGAATCGAGGAGGGAGGAGGAGGCGCATGCCACCCTTCAATTTGAGAAAGCGGCGGAAGGCAGAAGAGGAAGGTGGGGAGGAGACTACTAAGTGGAGGCGTTGGATGAGGGAATGGGGTTCGACATCCATAGAAAGCCAAAGAGATAAGGTTTTGCGTACTTGGTTGAATACACGGTGGAGATTCATTGAGATGAATGCTTTTGATAAAGTTTGTATGGATTAGGGTTGGACTTGGATGATTCGGCATGGGTTCAGTATTATCAGATTTAGTCACCTAAAACAGTTAAGCAGTGATTAGTTTGATGAAGAAAAATAAATTATTAATGAACCAATTTAGTATTTGATACTAATAGACTTCAACGTTGATCCAATAGTGATAGGGGCATAAAAGAATTTTTCATTCATTTACAAAAAGGTCTTTTAGCAAACTAATTAAATTTAAAGTCGTATACGAATTGTTGAACGGTCATTGTCATATAGTGAAAATAGTGATTTTATGTAGAAGCATTTTAATTACCTACAAGTGTAAAAACATGAGATTTTTAGTTTTAAAACCGTCCTTAAAAATATTATAGAATGAATACATAATGCTTTATTATAATGATAATTACTAAAAATATTCTAATATATTTACTAAAATATTCTCTCTTTTTTCAACAAAAAGAAAATGTTCTTGATGACGTATCATTAAGTATCACCAACTATGTTGACAATGGTTGATGAAGTATTTACTTTTCGTCAACCATCTTTCAAATCGTTGCTCAAACTTTGCTTAATCGGCAACCATTTCAGTAATCGTTGCGCAAAAATCAATTATTAACAACTATTTTTATAATGGTTGGCGAAGCATTGACATTTGACAACCATTCTTCAAATAGTTGCTCAAACTTTGCTCAATCAGCAACCATTTAAATAATAGTTGCTCAAACTTTGCTCAATCAGCAACCATTTTGATAATGGTTGGTGATGTTTTGATTTTCTGGCAACCATTTAACAAATGGTTGTTGAAGAGCTAGGTATTAGCAACCATTTTGCAAATGGTTGCATAAGTCCTAGTCTATTGCAACTATTTTATGATGGTTGCTCAAAGGTTGGGCATCACCAACCATTTTGTAAATGGTGGCCGAAAGTCCAGTTATCAGCAACCATTTTCTTATGGTTGCTAAGAATATAGTTGCTGAAACCGATTTTTCTTGTAGTGAACGCCACCCACCATCAGGAAGGTCTAGCTAGGTTGCTTAGGTCTACACTCTAGATCGTAGCATCCGACCTAGGAGTGGGAAGCCTCGAACCAAAGAACAACCTGGAGTTGAGGAAAACAGACCCCCGCCAGTCGAGTCCTTATTGGTCTCTCAACACCCGAGAACCAGCCGGGAACACAAATGAAAACTTTGATAGTGTGTAGATAGCTTTCATTCACATTTCCCATCATAATGTCCCGCGATTGAACGAACTAACGTCCAAAACGGGGTAAAAGACAAAACTGAAAATGTCTCATTCTCCATACAGTACATGAGACAAAATCAAAGGAAAGATTTGGATTCAGATCTCATTTTAACATATACACTGGTATATTGCATAATTGACCTGCTTTTCCACTACCAAAACGAACTGTTACCTTTCCTTTCCTCATAGTTGAAGCCGAGGGAAACAGGTCAAATGCTTTCATTATTTCGGCATCCCGGATCCCACCACCTCTTTGTCAGTTGTCACTCACCATCACCAATCAAGAAAGCAGAGCACTTCAGCTAATCTGGGGCGAAAGTAAGGGTGATTAATGTTATAATCAAGCAGTTAGGATCTGATTACGTCGAATAATGCAAGGCATTACTGCAAAAGACCCTTGACTAGCGACCCCAATGCCCTTTCAATTGATCGAGAGAGACAAGAGTGCAAATACTCGATTTCAGAAGGGAAAAAAGTATTGACCTTTGAGGGAACATCACTAATATTTTTTCTTTTCATAGTACAAAAGTCGACAGTCCCCTCCCCACCCATCTCACAAAGTTGAGGGAACAATGGAGCTCCTAGCTTCCCAACCCAACCCATGAGTGTAGTTTTTTACTGTTCCTGATTTGCCAACACACAGAACAAGGAACCAGCCATTGTCTTCCACAACTACTGTCCATGATCTCTTCTTTTGCTATCACATTAACCACATTCCAGCACCCAACTTGCAGAAGCATCAAAAATGGAAGAGCACTTTAAAGAATTCTATGCAAATGACTACTACAACACAAGCTCCCTAGTTTTCAACAAAAGATTTCAGCCTTTGCTGCCACTTAATCAGTTCAATCCTGTCTTTGTTCATCATGTATTCATGCAAGAAAAACGAAAGCTTATCAATTTACCCCTCTTTCCTCCAAGAAGCGTCGAAACCTACCCAGAAGCTCGCCACTCAAACTCCTGATCTGAACAAAGCACGAATCATTTAGGGGTTAATGAATTCGTGGGCACCATGAATTCTGAATAACACGATCCTCGTATCAAAATGAAACAAAGGAACAATGTGCAAAACATACAAAGAGAGAAAAAAAGAAAACCATACCGAAAATCAGGGCCAGTGTAAGGCCTTCCTTGCAACTTATCACGGAGAAGCAGATAGAGTTTCTGGATCTCCAATCGAACCGGCCACGGCGCCAAGCCGAGCAAACGAACACCAATGTACCGCCACCGTCGATTTTAGACACGTTAACAAGCAAGTTTATATGAAAGCCGCAAATCCTCACCAGAGCTATCCTCTCCTTGCTTCGGGACAAGTTCTTACCCGTCGAACATTGTAGCTTCAATTCAGAAGCGCCGAAATTCCTCGTCATTGCCATCCACAGCTACCCCGGCCGATCTTCCGCGACGAAGGTGAAAAGGTTAAAAGTAAAAACCAATAGTTGGATTCCTATCTCAATTGGCCGGAAACCCTAAACGAATTGGAGGAAGGGAAACAGAGAAATTAAGGGATTAGATTGGCCAAACCTGCGGCGGCGGGGCGTAATCGTACTGCTATTCAATCTCGTTGTCAAGGATTCGGAGAATGTTGGCATCGGAAGGCGACTTGGAAGCTATGTCGGTGGCGAAAGCTCTGGAGTGGAACAGAGACGAGAAGCAGTAGTCGGCTTTGATGGAAAATGAGGAGCCCGTTGGAGTGAGCTCAAAACCAACCTGGCAGCCATCTCTATTGCCGGTGATGTGATTTCCGAGGTTCTCGCCGGCGGTTTAACTGTGGTGACTGCTGCTGAGGGTTTCTATTTTTCCAGTTCTCGGATTACAGCTGCTTGTGAGTTGTGATCTACGAAGCCAACAAACATGGGCTAAGATTATCGTGGGCTTTCCCTTCCGTGGGCTTTGCCGCAGAATGTGGGCTTCGAATTTTGGTTGGAGATAGTCTTGGAACTTATCCGACATATAGAATGGCAACTCATATTTAGACAAACCATAGCAATTTTTTTTTTACAAAAAATAATCATATATTGATCAAAATATAGAAATAGTTACATCCTCGAATTCAGAAAGGCTGAAAATCAAAAGATCGACTCGCAGACGGATACAAAATAAGAGTTTTTCTAACCACCGCATAGGCTACCCTGTTGCTATTCTGACCTACAAATCGTAAAGTAAACCCAGAGTGAGTAGCAAAACACTACACAATTTCTTCAAGAATAACCCCAACTCTACTTTCTCTGGTATATGCTCGATTGATCTTCTCGATGACGACTTTGGCATCTCCTTCAAATTTCACAACCAGGAAGCCATGGTCCAGACACCTAAAGATAGCTTCCTGGAGGGCAAGTAATTCAACCACCGTCGGATCATCAATAGACAAGAACTGAGTCCCTTGAGCCATAAGGATCTCCCTATGAGGCCCAAGAAGAACCATCCCGCCAGCCGAATGAGACCCAACTCGCATAGCCCCATCCCACATACAAACATCCGTAGGAGCCTCACCCAGACCTATTGGATGTGGAATAGGAGCGACGCAATCTACCGGCAAACGTTCTCATTCCTCACATTGTTGGTGCAGTTGGCACATCAAGGTAGAGAAGCCAAACTGTTTGCCTTCAAAGATAACTCAGTTTCTGGACTTCCAAATCCGCCAAGGACAGCAATCACCGACAAGAAAACAGAAGGCTGCTGGATTAGGGAGAGCAACCTTTTGAGGAAGAGGGGAAAGTTTGACGAGGCAGACCTTGCCCAAGATGTTCCAGCCCCGAGTAGTCCCAAAGTGCACGCGCCACTGGACAATCAAGAAACAAGTGTTCCATTGTTTTCGACTCCCCCCAACACTTCGGGCAGCGAGGGAGCACATGGACTTTCTTTTCTATTAGGGCTTTGGTAGTAGAGAGGATACAATGAAAAATCTGTCAGACGAATACCTTCAATTTAGGTGGAACATTGGCCTCCCATAGCCGAATCCAACTGGGCCTATCCATCCAGCTAGTCATAGACCTCCAGCAACCATTCCTCTTATCCAGCTCGACAGCTAAATGATAGGCAGGCTTAACAGTGAATACGCCATCAGTCGTGCCATGTCAAATAAGCCTATCCTCCACATTATGCCTCGGGAGAGGAATAGTCTTAATTGCTCAGCACGTAGGAGGATCAAACCACTGTCTCTGCTTGTTGTCGCACCATCCCATAATGGAGGATTAATAACTATTGAATGACATATAGAATTCAGATAAATGCATGTATTGTAAATAGTAAAAATGTGAGTTTATTCATCTTTATCAAGCCCCAATGTTTATACCGTTCAAAGATTCACTAATTCCACTTTAGAAGCGTTCTTTTGTGGGAAAGATGTCGACTTTACTAGTTAGTACTTAGTAGTCGACTAACTATTGAATATTGTACAATTCCTATGTTGAGCAAAATATTGACAAAAAGAATCCATAAAAAACAACAGTGGGTTATCCTTAAATGCCGATTCTTGACAATCTGTTATCCGTGGTTCATTTTCCTTCACTCACAGTCACAGATTGATTGCTTTGAAACGGCAAAAAAAACCAAAACAACGAAAGGGATTAGATTAGAACCCAGAAGAAAAAATGGCGGTTTCGGACTTTCGGTAATTGATAATGAAGACAAGAAACCCAATAAAATGATGACGAAGCAGAAAAATGAGCAATGGCTTTGGGTTTCTGTTCAATCGCATTCACTTCTTCCACCCCACAAATTCCTTTTCCTTTCCCTTTCCTTTCCTCCCTCCCTCAAAAAAGCGCATTTCCTTCTGTCAAAGCCAGTCCATAAATATTATTATTTTAAGAAAAAATCACAAGGAAATGAAAGAAGAAAAGCACGCCAAATCCAATACAATACAACGATGATGGATGGCCGCAAGCTTTGAGACTCCGCCGGTGGCTTCAGATTACGTTTCCTCTCTGTTTCTCTCCTCCCTCTCTCTCTCTCTACTTCGCCGCCGGCCTGCGACTTTTCCGTGCCTCCTTCCATGGAAACTATCAATTGATCCCCCTACCTTTTTAAAAATATATGCTGGAAGTCGGATCACGGCTCCCAATTCCCGCATCATTTTTAATTCCCCTTCCCAACAAAAAATCCAGGAATTCTTCGAATTTCCCTCGAACCCCTCAAATTTTGGCCATCGCGCGTGAGAGAGAGAAAGAAAGGAAGAAAGCGGGTTCTCTGGAGGAAGGGGGGTTTTAGGCGGATCGAATTTCGAATCCCATGTTAAGAAATTCCTTGAAGTTTATTTCTTTCCTCCATCTGGGTTGATTCTGGCAATTTGGTTCATCGATAGATTTACAGGGGAAGGCAAAAATGTTTTGTAGAATGATCCTTCTGCATCCGAAGAAGAAGACCGGTTCGGTGCCGGTTTACTTGAATGTTTACGATTTGACTCCCATGAATGGCTACGCTTACTGGGTCGGCCTCGGCATCTACCATTCTGGCGTTCAAGGTTAGAAATTTTCACTTCCCCCATTTTCGCTATTTGGTTTTATCGGATGTTCATGTAACGTAAATTAGCTTAGATCTGCTGCTCTTTTCTGCAATTTCTGTTTGGGTTCTTGGTGTTGTCTTGATTTGGTGGGATGGGGAAAGAGGAAATTGTTAGCTTTCGTGGGGATGATGAATTGATGATTCATAAACCTTGACGATTGCAAAGAAATTAAGAATGAAGTTTCCGGTCAGGTGGGAAAATTTTTAATATTTAATTTGCTCATGTCAGCAGTCAAAATGGCTGCGGGTGATCTTTGGTTAAGTTAGTAGTCGCAAAAGTCAGCGAAGAATTGAAATTAAGGGGTTTTAACGGGTCAATTAGTTGGTCTTTGTCCATGTTGTCTTTGTTTCAGCTGAGCCATGGATTCAACTGATTAGATAGGGTTTTGATTTTGATTGTAATTGTTTATTTGAATTTTCTCCTTCTGTTTTTGGCTATTCCAGCTCAACTGGAGTTGTTAGGTTCCTTCTATTTCATTGCCTTTCCCATTTTGAATAATAATAGCTCTGCTTCTCACGATTTTAGCTTTGACAATAACTTTGTAGTGTAACTTTTGAGCAACATGTTCTGTTCTTGACTTCCTTTGCGGTTGGTTTGATCTATCAGCTGGAAAAGTTTAGGGCTTTATGGTGATTGTGATGTTTTATTTGTGGTTGGGGTTGTTTGTAGTTCATGGAGTTGAATATGGTTTTGGAGCTCATGACCATTCAACGACGGGGATTTTTGAGGTTGAACCAAAGCAGTGCCCTGGTTTCACTTTCAGGAAATCGATACTCATCGGAAGAACTGATCTGGGTCCTAAGGAAGTTCGGTCGATGATGGAGAAAATGGCACAAGAGTATTCTGGGAATACCTACCATCTTATCACCAAGAACTGCAATCACTTCTGTAATGATGTGTGTCTCAAGTTAACTGGGAAAGCAATCCCTAGCTGGGTCAACCGACTTGCTCGTTTAGGTAAAAAAAATTATTTGCACCTACCTAATTTCCTATTCTGCATTTGTGCACTAGTTCCTGGGGTCCGATTTTTAACTGAATGAGGCAACTGAAGAGCCAATTGAACTTTGGAAACTGGTGAAATATTCTAATGGTTTATCTGTCTACTGCTGGAAAATGCAATGTATCTGTTTAGAAAGCTAATATCCCTCTGCAGGTTAACATTGGTTTGGAGCACATTTATTCTCAGTTGCTATCTATTGTAGCACAATTGCTTTGAAGCTTTCATCTCTGATAACTTTTCCTTACTCATTTGTGCTGATAAGAAGTCTAAGAATGAAGAACATTGTTTTCTTTTGTTTCTCATTTTCTTTTTCAAGGACCGACTTTTCAGTAGTGAAATTCTCTTTCTTTACGGGAGTACCACTGGATATGGCTCCATTGATCAGGCTCCATATTTAACAATTTGCCTATGCTTTCATTTGTTGTGCATTTCTTCAACACAAAGCAAACCAGAAATCACATGTAGAGCAATTTTTCGAGAGAAAGCAGATCAGGAACAATATTCTAATGCTCTTGATGGGTTGTTGGATAATTTTACAGGCTTCCTATGCAACTGTGTCCTTCCAGCAGAGCTGAATGGAGCTAAAGTCAGGCAAGTTAGGTCAGAAGACAGGTCGCAGCAGCAAGTAGAGAAGAAGAAGTTGAGGAGCCGTTCGAGTAGATTTGTATCCGCCACAACCGCACCAACTACATTGACGAAAAACTGCTCGGGTTCCGAAATCAGACGCCGTACTGGAAAGATCCTATGAGCTGATGGTGTTGATGCTCTTAACTAGAACTGGACAGGGCTGGTTTTCTCAATTTCCATGTTTAGGGTCTCACAGAGGTTTTTCACTGAAGTGAATCCAATCAACCTATAGACATGGAGGGGGGAAAAAGAACCCAGATTTCTAATGTTTATCCTCACGCCGCGCTTTCTAATGATGTTCGGCGGGTTCTGGGAACTGCTGCTGTAGAAGTTTGTTTGTTGCAGCGTTTCTGAGGGGTTTTTTTTGGTTTCTTGTATAAATGGAAAAGATACTTGTTCATCTTTTTTGTTCATCAGTTAATTATGACAAAGCCTCTCCTGAAACTATGGTGAGTTGGTCTGCATAAGTGAGGGGCCAAAAAGAAGGTTAGGAACGGCCTTTCTTTAAGAAAGGCATTCTTATCAGAAAATAAAGTAGAAGGAAGTGGTTGGTTAAAATTTGCAGGCATTTTCGATGCATTAGAGATTAGGCTCCTCCCTCCCACCAATTATATATTCTATGCTGAGGAACAACTCGACTTTCTGTAGTGTTTGTGTGACCTGTTTGGTATTCATATTGAGACAAACAAAAATAGAAAGAATAATGTGATATGATTAGTTATGAGAAAATGATGGTGAAATTTGTCTTTCTTTCTTGCTGTGCTGTGTCTTTTTGGGTTTTCATGCACTCTCGATTGTTTGCCAAAGAGCAGGTTCATTGTTGCAGGAACTCCAACAAAGCAGGTCGTGTATCAAGAAGTTGCAGCCTGTAATGCACACCTTGTGTTCTGCAATTGAAGTTGACTTGGGAATAAAGAAACATGGAAAAAGAGCATGGAAGTCTCACCCATTGGGCCTATAAGTTAGATTGGAAATACACTTCTCGTCAATCCCTGAGACAATGAAGATAGCAGCAATTGAATATCCCCTGTATCCAAATTACAGTCGCGGTGCAAATCCCAAAATGTTTAGAAGCTAACTTATCTATGCACAACATTCCGTTGGAAGGGAAGAGTGCAAATAATCAATGTACTTCTTGAATTTTGATAGGAAAGCTACATCATTGTCAGTAAAAATAAATCAATAAGTAAAAATAAAATTGAGTGTTGACAAAACTAGAGCACAATCACTCTAATTTAAACCCACGTCAACAGGAACCGAATTTCTTCGGTTTCAACAAAAGACGAACATCTGTCTGTTGAAATGTCCATCACTTGATCTCCATGTTCTGCCATTATTTTGCCATTTCTAACTCTCTTTATAATCTTCATGTCTTTGAGTTGATGATACCAACACTTACATATGGTTCCACAATGATTTTTGTCATAATCTCTCTCCATAAATTGTTTCCATATATACTGTCGACAAATAGAAACAAACCAACTCCGTTATTCAGTCAATAAAACCGGTAGAGACAAAACTACTAGAGAAAGATTAATGTCTCATGCTCAAATATAGAATGAAATATTTCTCGAATTTGTAACTAAAGAAAATCTACGAAATATCATTATGTTTCTGAGTTAGAATTTGGACTAATAGGTACGTGTCCTATTCCTATGTGATACTTAAAGATTAAGGGCTCCATCAATGAAAGGGTAGAGACTTCAAGTCGAACGAGGAAAACATAAATAAGTTTTTTTGCAATGTAAACAATAGAAGAACATAAATACCTCGGGGGTTAATGATAAGCCTTTATTAAATGTCGAGGATAGACCCACTAGGTCAATACTTAAATAGTTTGGATGAAAATTCTGGAATAAGCCGTCAAAAAAAGCACCGTTGCCACGCAATTTACAAAAATTATTCGTGAGTTTCACATGTTCAATTCTCGGGATAGGCAACTTCTCTTGGACTTCTTCCCAATCACACTGCAAATAACACAATATAGTAAATAAGCAACACTTATAAAAATAAGTAATCAATTTACAATAATACAATGGGTCGTTTGGATGGGTTAATTGTCAATGTGGTATTTGTAGAGTCAAATAACTCATTTATTGTTCATGTGGGATTTCAGTGTTATTTCAGTGGTAATTGAAATAAAGTATCTCGTTTGGTTGAACCATGCAAATGTGGTATTTGACATGTGGTATTTGGTAAAAGCAGAGTGATAAAACGAGTTAATTCGAAATAACACATGAGTATAAGTTATTTTAAATAACTCGTTTTGAGTTATTTGTAAACAACTCACTGTCCAAATAACTAATTTCAGTAAAACGCTGCCAAACGAGTTATTTGCGTCCAAATAACTCATTGTGAGTTATTTTAACCCAAATAACTCATACAAATACTCCATCCACACGACCCCAAAAAAATTCAATACATGGTGTCGAGGGAGCTGCCAAGGCTCACAAAAGGGTTGATGTCGAGTCTGACATCCTTGAACTGATCAAAACTGCAGTTGGTCAACTTGAGAGATTCGAGGTGAAATTGGTGCTTGGATTTGGGCAGCAATAGGCCTCTTGGGATACTGTATGTCCCCGTACCGTTGAAATTGAGGGTTCTGCCAATGTTCTTATGGAATTCGGCTGCAATGTCAATCTCTTGCGGTGGATGAGATCTGTTTGCAACCAACTCCAACATGTCATCGAGGAAAGCAGAGCAGATTTCTAAGGGCCACTTCTTTTGAACATTGAACTTGATTCTGACGGCTTTCATCGGAATTAGGGTGCCGTCGCTTCTGCGACTGAACTTCTCCCTGGCGGTGGAGACGAATCCCTTCACCGATTGCGTCGATTTGAAGTGGGTATCGTGGAATTCGAGGATTGGGTATGATCGCCAGAGCCGAAACCATGTTGAAGACAGTATGCTGGATTTTGCAGCTTCCTGGGGGGAGTTGAGGAGAGCGAGGATCTCGTGGATGACCTCGTCGGGTAAGTTCGAGATCCGGTCTACTTCTTCAGAGCCCTTGTTCTCCCGGCGGCGGCTTTTGCAATCTGAAGACATGGTTTAGGGATGACAGGGAAGAACAGAGGGTTAGGGTCTTAGGGATTAGTTGGATTTGGTCCAGCCCAAAATTAATTCTTGTGTCTAGGGGTCGGATAATATGCTAACCCCTAAAGGGTAGTGATTTTCGACACCCCCTATTTGATTGGTCAGTTGTATACTTAATTATTAGGCAAGTATTAATGGCTGTCCCAAATAAATATGGATGGAGAAAAGATTAACTGTCATATTAATTATGCACGGGAAGTGGGACAATTTAGCTGGATCCATGGATGGAAATTGTGGTGTTTCTACTCCCTTTCCCTTTGTTTCTATTTTCCCTTCCCGTCTCTGCTATTTCCCTTCGTTTCTACTCCCTTTCCCTTTGTTTATTTCCATTGCCGTGGAGAACCATAGCTATGGTTCATCACTACACGGCTGGCGGGATCCATTAGTTTCAAAAATGGATGATCACATCGTCCAGTTTAATAGGCGATTAGTTTCTTCCTCTCGTCGGCGAGCTCGTACTTTATGCGGCGAGATAGGGACGGCCAATTCGTTCAGACGGCAAGGTCTACGCTGGAAACAAATTTACTTTGTTTTCTACGGCGAGATGGCGAGATTGGGATGGCAGGGAATCGTTTAGGCCTCTGGAAATAAATTTACTTTGTTTTCCGTTGCCGTTGACCAGAGTCTGCGCTGCGCTGCTCGCCATCACCGATTTTAAATCTGATGTGTTAATAATACTGGTTAAGATGAAAAGAACCTAAACCCTGACCCCTGGAGGCATGTACCAGTGGAGTGATAGATGTACCACAGTACTGGTACGCGTTTATAATTTTTTTCAAACAACACAAATATTAAATAACGTTGTTTCAAGTTGTGTGATAGATGTACCATAGTACTGGTACATGTACCAGTAGAGTGATAGATGTACCAGTATAGTGATATCCTGTCAACTTCTATTGGTTGTATCCTGTTTTTTTTTTTTCTTATTATGAACTGTGCTGAATTTTTTAAGAACTGTGGTTGAGGGAGATAAATTATATAACGTATATTGGTTATATTCTGGATTATTTTTATCACATAGAATGGTACATGTACAAATGGACTGGTACATGTACCAGTCCAGTGATAGATGTACCAGTGGGCTGGTACATGTACCAGTGGAGTGATAGATGTACCACAGTACTGGTACGCGATTATAATTACCAACTGTTTTTCAAACAACACAAATATTAAACAAGACACCATAATAGGTAATTCCCATCCATAGGATCAATAACGTTGTTTCAATTTGGGTGTCCGAAATGTAAACAAAGACCAAATTATCCTTCAAATTCAAATAACCAAATAGTCCCCTAGAATCATAAGCAAAAGAGAATCAGTTGGCGAAGGATGGCTGGGTCACTTGAGTAGCTGCAGGGAACAATGTTTCGTGTGCCTCAGAAGCTTTAACTGTCAACTCTTCAAGCATGAGGTTACTCTCGTCCTCGAGCATGTTTGTAACTATTTCCACAGTCCTGCTAACGAAATAGTTAGTTTTCTGCCAATCCTTCTTCCACTCACTCAGCAGACGACCTTGCCATTCCTTCGTCCTTGTCATTCCTGGTTTCATTGGAAGATAAGTCAATTCTACGAACTAACAAAAGTACCAGTGTAGCGGTACTTTCAAGAACAAAAATTAAGTTGTAAATATCACTGCAGTGATAGCCCTATAAACATAAACTTTACAACTAACTACCACTTTAGTGATATTTGAACGAATCCAGCGATAGACAATCAACAGCTTGTGAAGGATTTACCACTGTAATGCTAGATATACCACTATACTTACACATCTACCACTAGAGTGATATACCACACTACCACTACAGTGATAGAACTACCACTACTGTGATAGAACTACCACTTCGCAAAACAATCAAAAAATTTCATGCAATGCCGTAATGAAAGAGACGACAACAATAAAAGCATTCGGAGTATACTTGCCTCAGTTTAGGATGAATTAAAGCGGAAAATCACGCCGGCGCCCCTATCGTTAAATGTATAGCCTCTGTCGCAGCTATACTATCGTGGACGGGAATCGATCAAGCGGGTTCGAAGTCGATGGTTCGGGGGGAAAGACAGACGACTTCCGACGGGCCGACCGCTGTTTGTGAAGGAGATGATGTTTTACGGCGGGGGTAGTGATTTGATGAGTCGGCGGCGAAGGGTTGCGGCGGGTGCTGAAGTCTATGGTTCGGGATGAAAGAGAGACGACTTCCGACAGGAGGGAGTGGCCGACCGCTGTTTGTGAAGGAGATTAGGGTCTACGGCGGCGATTTTATGAGTCGGCGGCGAAGGGTTTCTTGTGGGTTCTGAAGGCAGAGGTATAGAAGGGAAGGGGAACTGAAACGGTGAAAGTGAAAAAGGTAAGAGGGAATGAATTTTAAATTATGAGTGGGGTCGCCACTTTTACTTCTTTCTCTTTTTCGATGTAATTAATTATTGAATTAGAGCAATAATTACCAACTGTTTGCAATTATCATTAGATTAAGACTATCTAAAATGGACGGCTAAGATGATGGGTGTCGAAAATCACTACCCCTTTAGGGGTAGTCAGGCTAACCGCTCCCTTGTGTCTACCTTTCAGCAGGATTATTACAGACTTGGCTAGTTAATTACGAATTTGATGTGGTAGCAAATAGGGTTTCGGTTCGGAAAAAAAGTAGAAAATTAAAAGCTAGTATTGGAGATTGTTTTAGATTTATGATAATTGGATAGGGGTGGCCAAATTGTATCGAATTAATATTTTGACAGAGAAATAGTATAATTTTATTTGCTTTAATTTCATGAGTCTTCTTAACATATTTTGGACAAAAAAAGAGATGGATGGGAAGTGAAATCGGCATTGTTATATAACCCAATTGGACAAATCTAGGACAGTAGAACTGTCAAATCGGTTACGATAGCGATCCAGTTCAGTTGTTTGGACGGTTAGTGATGAAACAAATGCTTTTCAGGGTTCAACATGAAATCAGATGAACCATCCCGATTTGACAAGTTCACTGGTTCACTATTTTAATCACAACAAAAATTGCAAAAGAATACTTTATAATACCATCAAAGATGAATTACATATTTTATTCATACTTCCTCTCTTTTCATGTCTCAACAGGGGCGGAGACACAGTATTAGAAGGGTGTTCCACGGCACACCCTTGGATCGGAGCTAGAACATGAAAAAATAGGGGTATTAGTTTATGCTATAGCTAGCATTTGAACGTGGAACCCCCTTGCTACTAGCTTTGACATCTTCCACTAAACCACAATTACTTACGTGATACACTAATACGTTTTATTGCATATATATAATTTACCGTTTACAAATAATAAGTAAATTAAATGAAAAAATCTCATAATTACATATGCTTATTCAAGAAGTAAACGAAAATTTAACCCTAACAAGCGAGCGTCTTGATAGTCTTGATGATGAATGTATTTTACAGACTTTTCAAAATATGAGAACCCGTCGTGGGTCACTATAAAAAATTGATAGTCATTTTAAATTTTTTAAATTGGCACCCCCTTACCCAAAATCCTGGCTACGCCACTGTGTCTCAACCTCTTTGTCGGCTTTTTGTAGTCCATTACTGATTGTCACCCTAATTAATAACTTGAATTGAAATATTATGATTTATTTTGTGAGACAGTTTGAATGATTTATCATATATTTTGATGATGGATAATATGAATTTGAAATTGTATATGGTCAATAATAAATTAATGTTTAAGTTAGTGTATTTTAAAGTCCCAGCTCAGACCCATATCTCTTAACAATGTCTACCTGAAAGCCATCACGAAGGCCATTACCAACAGGTTGAAACCTATCATGAGGAAGTTGGTCTCTCCTCGCCAGAGCAGCTTCATCCCGGGGCGGCAGACCACCGATAATATCATTGTCCTGCAGGAGGTTCTCCACACTTTGCGGAAGAAGAAAGGAAAAAAGGGAGGGATGGTGATGAAAATCGATCTCGAGAAGGCCTATGACTGCATGAGGTGGGATTTCCTGAGGGACACCCTCAAGGAGGTGGGATTACCCAGTTCGTGGATAGGGTGCATCATGTACTGCGTAGAGCATAACAGAATGCGCCTCCTCTGGAACGACGAGCTATCTCAACCCATCACCCCTACAAGAGGGGTTCGGCAGGGAGACCCCATATCCCCTTACCTTTTTGTCTTGTGTATGGAACGTTTGTCCCACAGAATTGATCGGGCTGTTCAAGATAAGCTTTGGCGGCCGCTCGGGCTATCCAAGGACAGCCCGACGCTCTCTCACCTCTTTTTTGCCTATGATCTGGTGTTGTTTGCAGAAGCAGGGGATTCGCAGGTCAGAATTATCAAACAGTGTTTGGATGATTTTTGTACCAGCTCAGGGCAGAGGGTGAATTTCCACAAGTCGGCCATGTTCGTCTCTGCCAACATCAGCAGAAGACAAGCGAGATCCTTGAGCACTCGCATGGAGATTCCTCTAACGGTGGATCTTGGGAGATATCTCGGGGTCATGGCAATTCATGGCAGAGTGACCCGGGGCAGATATCAGGACCTCCTTCTCAAAATTCAAAGGAAACTAGCCCCTTGTAAAGCTAAGCATCTCTCCCTTGCAGCTCAAATGACTCTTGTTAAGTCCATTGCTGCGTCCATTCCTGTTTATCCCATGCATGTGGAGCTTATGCCCAAAATGGTCTGCAAGTCTCTGGATAGAATTAATCGCGGGTTCCTTTGGGGAGATACAGAAGAGAAAAAGAAGTTTCACCTTGTGAGATGGCAACAGTTGACCCTTCGGAAGGAGAAGGGAGGACTTGGACTTCGTCCTGCGAGAGAAGTCAACCTGGCAATGTTAGCTAAGTGCGGCTGGAGACTCTTGACAGAGAAGGAGACTCTCTGGGCTCAGATTATGCGATCCAAGTATGACAAGGGCAAGGAAAACCTCGACATTATCAAACCTTTAAAGGGAAGTTCCTTTACCTGGAATAGCAT